GTAATTAAAAAATTAACAAAGTTGAAAAAAAAGTAATTATTTGTTTTATCAAGTTATTCTGCCAGTTTTCTTTTTTTAATTTTTCTCAAAAATTCAAAAAATTTATTTGATTACATTTTAATTCAGTCAATTCAAAAGAATCCAATTTATTTAATCAAAAGAATTTCGTTTACATTCGTTCATTACTATTACATACAAATGGCGAATAAAAATAAAAAAATCAACCAAATCAACTAAATCAATCAAACAATATACCATACCTGATATGCAGGATCTTCTAAAAATGTAGCCAAATGAAAGGACAACTAAAAAAACCAAGTAAATATTTTACTATTTATCTCTCTATAGTGATATTTTTTTAGAAATAACACTTAAAATATGTACATTTTTTAAATATCCAGAACGTTCTTGTCCAACTTGTAAGGGTACTTATCATTCACATTCCTCAAGCAATCGTTGTAAATTTCAAAAAAACTCGTGCATCCACATCTGTTCAGACAAAATACGAACAATGCACAATCAAACTGGACTAGAAAGATTTCTTAAAGATAAGGATCTTGAACCTGAAATCCAAAGCGCCGTTAAAAGAATGATTCGAATTGTTTTTGAAGGGCCAACCAAACGTCATTTATCATCGCTTTCAAATATATGCGGCAATGCTTCCAAGCTGTAACTACATACCAAAATACCTTGAAACCACCAAAGAACCTATCATAATACTATTCGAGATACCCTCTACACGTAATATCGACCTTGAGGAATGAATTGGACAGATAAAAAATCGTTACGAAAACTTCTCTCCGTTACTGCATGGCAAAATGTTACAAGTTGTCAGAATCATACAATGATGAAACTCGATAATCGACTTAAGGATAGTATAAATTGTTTAACAAAAAAAAAAGCACATCGACTCTATCATAAACCGTTTCATTATTAACTTGAAAAATCGAGATCCTTCCTTCAAATATTATTGATAAACTATCTATATCACATCCACAATACCTAATTTACCTTACTACCCGCATTCAATATATTCACTTGAAAGTGCAACAGACACTATTCCAAAATTAAGCTCTTCATGTTACGTCTGTAAAAGCATCTTGGTGGTCATACCTTCCAGGTCTCCATAAAATCCTCTCCACCTTTACCAAGCATAACCGAGAACATGGCCTTCGTCTCCTCACACTTTTACCTTCACAACAAAAGTACATATCAGTTGATACTGATTCTTTATTTACATGTACAAATCAATTGAAAAAATAGAAATAGCAACTATCTAAAGATTCAAAGCTGTAAGAGGAACTTGGTGGATGGAATAATTTAATATTAATAAAGTCACCACCAAAATCGAATTTTTGTTACTCCATACAGACTGATGGTCTGCAGAGGATGTTGATAAAGAAGGGTCGAATATTGGTTTGAATGGATGTAGAGTATTGGGCTGGAAAGATATGAAAAAGTTGAGTTGTTCCAACAAGAAGTACTGGAATTTAGCAGAGTTTACTCGTGCTCGCAAAAAAGTGAGTTGTGATTGTTGAAAAAAAAAATCTTCAGGCTGTTATTTGAGGTAAGTTATATTTTGTTAATTTAATTTGCAAGAACTTTGTCAAGGTAATTTGCAAGACATCGAATAATATTATTTACATACCGTTCACTTGATACTAAAACCAAGCAATTCCAACCTCTGTCACAAATGTCTATGAATAGGCTCTTGTCCGCTTACATTATATTTTGCCCCAATATAATCTTTGATTTTTATGGTGAACGTTACTGGGCCATTTGCGATGGAAATCTTTTATTAATGAACAGAAGGCATTTGATATGTTGTGCAAGAGAATAACAAATGGTAATGATAATGCAGTTGTTGCATTTGGTGATGGGTAAATTCTCACCACATGCTTCGGGCCCTATAAAACAATTTTGCTGAGAGATTTCTAAGCACTGCAAGATGGTGAACATTGACGAGATCCATACATCCTCGGTCTGTTCTTTGTGTGATAGGTGATTTGATAAGCATCAAAATTTCTGGTCTGTCAGACACATTAAAGATGTTAATGCTGCCCGTAATGTAAGGATCATTTTTTTGTACACGAACATTTATGGAGAGAGACCTGATTCGTTTATAATGGTGGCTTATTGACCTATCTGTTGCCATTTTAATTGTTGTTGGATATGCCTAACTGGTGGCAGCAGCAACGACGATGACTTTCTATGAAGTTAGCTATAGTGAGGATTTGTATCTTTCTAATTTAGTTTAACAAGGTTTACTTGTTAGTTAAAAGATTATAATAATAATTTCTCAAACAAAAATTTTTATTTTTCTTTACCAATGAATTCAAAAGTTAAGTGGCATTATTTATATGTGAATTTAAAAAAATTTAAAAATATGAAAAATACCAGAATGTTATTACCAATTAGATGAGTTAAAGGAAATCGATAACAAAATAACACATATCTTTTTATTCTATATATCTACATGTTCTACCTATTTTTCAGTGAAACAAAAATCATAACATAATTTATTTTTAAACAGGGAAACTTGAGGTGGAGGAAAAAAATAATCAATTATTGAACTTGTAATTTTTTATCTCAATTTTTATTTATATAAAACCATGTGACTACACTCTACCCTTAAAGAAACCAAGAAACCAAGAAACCACCAAAGTTTAGCTCCGTATAACAAACAAACATTATTATAAATAATAACAACAATAATAATTCCGTCCGTGTCGTACGATATTGTCCGTTCACTATCTCAAACTCAAAAAGAAGTTTAAAAAGAAAGAAAGAAAAGAAAAAAGCCCAAATGGTGATAATCCGAAGCAAAACAAACAAATTAAGCCTGAACAAGGATAAATAAACTCAACATGCTTTTATATTTTTGGGTTGATTGATGAATGGGAAGGAGGGTGTTAGTATTAGTATGGGATAATTATTATTATTGTGTAACTGGTTACTGTCCTTGGAATCTATACCCCATATCAAATTTTGAAATCATCTAATTGTAAATAATAATAAAAAGATGGTTTGAACTTTTATCGTTTTATTTATTTCTTCTTCAGCATTTAAATATAATAAAGTTTACCAAGAAAAAAAGAAAATAAAATAATAGAAACGGGTAAATAAATCTTGTAGCTATTTATACTTAATGGTAATAATGAACCAAGATTTCCAATAAACACATGTGTGTATTACACAACATCATCTAAAGATTTTTGAATTTATGTGATGATAATAATAATAATAATAATATAATAATAATAATAATAATAAAGAAAAATCTTGTTATTGACCGCCAACACTATCAAAAAATTTTTTTTTTTTTTGATGGAAAAAAAAGTCATTGAGCAAAAACTGATTTAGTATTAGTATCAGTATTAGAATGTTTAAAATCATTTCGATATTAATTAAATATGCAACTTCGTCACACGACAAATACAAAGCCTCAATTATTGTTATTGTTTGTTTGACGTTAAAAAAAAAACTAGGAAAAAATTTTTTTATACCAATTAAATTAATTCATACAAAAAAATTATCATTTTCTTTACACGAGGAAGTAAAAAAAAAAACTTTGCAAGTTTTTTTTCAATAACGGAAAAGTTAATAGTTAATCCAACCCCCCTCCCTCCCTTCAAACAAATAAAAAAAGGTTGGTAATACCCCCAACACCCCTCTTTAGTTTTCTCTTAATACGCACTTTTCAAATTTATTGTAATTATGTCGTGTCACATTCCCCTTTATATATTTATTTATTTATTATGATTCTATAAGGAAAAAAAAAAAACTAAAAAAAATTTTTTCCTTTCATCTCCTCTCTCTCTTACTTTAACATAAAGTCTGTGAGAAGTAAAAATGGTTATTACTAAAGAGGGAAAAACAACCAAAAAAAAAATCGATAGACCTGCAAATAAAAAAGGAAAACAAAAGGCACTTCCTATCAACGACGACGATGATGAGTATGACGATAACAGTCGACGAGGAAACAAACGAAAGCTTGAAGATGACGAGGAAATTGACGTCAAGACTGAAGAAGACGAAGATGTCACTAAAGGAAAAAAGGCCAAGGAATCTCTTAAAAAAAGAATAAAACAACAAAAAACAACCGAGCCTAAAGCTAATTCGAACGATGATGATAAAATGGACATAGAGGATGAAGAACCTGTCAAAAAAAAAACGGTCAGGAAAAAATCCAAGCCAAGAATTGAAGAGGAAATGGACATAAAGTCTGAGGATGAAGAACCCGTCAAAAAAAAACAGGTCAGGAAAAAATCTAAACCAAGGATTGAAGAGGAAATGGACATAGAGGATGAAGGACCCGTAAAAAAAAAACAGGCCAGGAAAAAATCTAAGCCAAGAATTGAAGAGGAAATGGACATAAAGACTGAGGATGAAGGACCCGCAAAAAAAAAACTGGACAGGAAAAAATCTAAGCCAAAAATTGAAGAGGATGAGCCTGAACCAAGCGAAGGAGAAGATGAAGATTTCCAGTGGTGGAAGGGGCAATCACTTGATGATGGATCGGTCAAATGGACTACCTTAGTCCATAATGGCGTTTGTTTTCCACCAGAATATGTCCCTCACAATATCAAGATGAAATATAATGGTATGGCATTATATAATCTAATTTTTTTTTTAATGCATGTGCATTTGAAAATATTATTATTGTTGTTGTTATAATTTTTTAATTATGTTTCTAAACTTTTTACAATAATCATTATTGTTTTGTTTTTCAAAGGACGCGAAATAAAACTTTCTCCTGAAGCTGAAGAAGTTGCTACATTTTATGCTGCGTTATTAAACACTGACTATGTAAAAAACGATACTTTCAACGAGAACTTCTTCAAAGATTGGCAAGTTGTATTGAAAGAATCTGAAAAAAATCCATCAATCAAGCATTTCGATAAATGTGATTTTACTTCTATATATGACTATCTACAACAAGAAAAGGAACGAAAAAAAAATTTTTCAAAAGAGGAAAAACAAAGGTTGAAAGATGAAAAGGCCAGGATAGATGAGTTTTATGGTTATTGTTACTTGGATGGACGTAAAGAAAAAGTTGGTAATTTTAGAATTGAGCCACCTGGTTTGTTTAAAGGTCGTGGTGAACATCCTAAAACTGGTTCATTGAAATTGAGAGTCACCCCTGAGCAAATAACAATTAATCTCAGTAAAGATGCACCTGTTCCTCCTCCACCTGCTGGTCACTCCTGGGGTGGTATTCTGCATGATAATAGAGTTACCTGGCTTGCCACCTGGAAGGAGAATGTAAATGACAGTATAAAATATGTGTTTTTAGCAGCAAATAGCTCACTAAAAGGTCAAAGTGATTTGAAAAAATTCGATAAGGCCAGAGAGCTCGACAAGCATGTAGAAAAAATCCGGTGTGATTATACACAGGATTTGAAAGATAGGCTAAATTCAGTCCGACAACGTGCTACCGCAATGTATCTCATTGATAGGCTCGCGCTAAGAGCGGGAAATGAGAAAACTGGTGAAGAAGCAGACACCGTGGGATGTTGTTCCCTCAGATGCGAACATATCACTTTGGTGTCACCTAGGACAGTCGAGTTCGATTTCTTAGGTAAAGATTCAATAAGATACGTAAACTCGGTAGAAGTAATAGAGCAGGTTTTCAAAAACCTTAGAATATTTATGAAGGATAAGGAACCCAGTGAAGCATTATTTGACAGATTAAGGGTACAAAAATACAAGATTTAAATTTAATCAATCACATATGTGTGTGCATTTGTGTTTGTTCTATTAATAAATTCAAATTTTCTTTAAAAATTCATTTAGACTCAAGATTTGAATAAACATTTGTCTGAATACATGAAAGGACTAACTGCTAAAGTATTTCGTACATACAATGCATCTCATACCTTCCAAATCGAGCTAAAGAAAGAGACGGCAAATGCTACTACTGTAATGGAGAAAATGGTGGCATATAATAAAGCAAACAGGCAGGTTGCTATTTTATGTAACCATCAACGTTCTGTCAGCAAAGCTCACGATAATCAAATCAATAGAATCGACGATAGGGTAAATTTTTTTTTTTTATCATGATTATTGTTAATTTCTTGAATAAATTCACATATATGTATTCTTTAATATATTAGGTTCGTGCTTTGAAATACCAAAGAAATAGATGTAAAATGGAATTGTTGAATCTTGAGCCCAAATTAAAAAAGAAAGAGCCTCGACTATTTGAACCAGAATCAGACATGGAAGAGGAATGGGTAATTGAGCATGAGAAGCAATTGATGGAAAGAGAACGTTTGGCAGTTGTAAAAAAATTCGAAAGAGATAACGAAAAGCTTGCAGAAGAAGGAAAGTCACCTAAACCCGATGAGCATCTTAAACGATTATTAAAAGACATTGATGAAAAAGAGAAGGTGTTGAAGAGTGAACGAAAATCTGGAAAGATCAATACGAGAAAAGGACAAACAAATGAAAAACTCCGGATCCAAATAGAAAAATTGACAGAACGTATTAACACCACCAAGTTATTAAAACAAGATAAAGAGGACAACAAGACAACTGCATTGGGCACATCGAAAATCAATTACCTAGACCCGCGGATCTCCGTTGCGTGGTGCAAAAAATATGATGTGCCAATTGCTAAAATTTTCAACAAGAGCCTCCGTGAAAAGTTCCGGTGGGCGTTGGACGTAGATGCGGATTGGGTGAGTATTTTTTTTTTTTAATTAATTTTATTAAATAATAATATATTTAAAATTATTTTTATTATTTTATAGGAATTTTAATCATTGTGCAGCCGTTTTTTGCTTTCGCTATTTTGAACTCGTGAATTTGTACATTGTGCTTGGTATTAAATCTCTGCCCGGTGGATGGTTATATTTTTTGTGCCGATAGAAATTTTTTTATAATTTAGATCTGATGGTAGTAAGGATTTTATTATCATCATTAGCTATATTATTATTATTATTAATTTAGATTATAAATATGAAAGCTACAATTTATATATATACTTCCTCTATCAATCTCATTTTATAAAATAATGATAATTTTATATTATAATAAACTTCTAATTTATTTAATGAAAATAGAGACAAGAAATTTCAGAGGACTAAATTTTAGTGATACGAAATAAACTTATTTTATTCCTGTAATCAATCCAAAGATATAAATTCATGCTAAGCTTAAAATCTTATTTTCACTTTG